AAAAAACAGGTGTCTAAACCATGCATTCTCAAAGAAAGTGAAATTTGGAATTTGAAAATAGGAAAATGATCTCTTTTTTTAGGTAAATTGCATCTCTCTCTCTCTCTCTCTCTCTCTCTTATATATATATATATATATATACACACACACACACACACACGACATAAACAGATATAAAGTATATTTGTGACATTAATATTTTGTTGGGGACTTATTAGGAAAAAAACATATCTAAAGAGCCTATCCTAAGAGAGTGATAATGAAAAAAGATAAAGAAACACCAGTCCGAACTTGTATGAGGGCCCAAATAGGCCAATGAAACATGACCCCTGTTCTGGTCTCCAACAAGCAATCATACAGTTTTTATCCCCTGAAATCACACCACATTCTGCACATATACCATTTATCCTTGAGAATGAAATACTGTCATGATGGGGTATAATTACTAATGATTTTAAATTAATGACCAAAATATGATTTGTAGCTTTACTGCAAGAGATGCTATTATTCCAGTAATACTGTGTACAAGTAAAAGGAAAATCAAATTTTACACATGTGGATTCTATTTATTCTTGAAAATGGGCCAGGCTGGCAGGGCTGTAGGTTGGGGGGGTGGGGCAAGGGTGGTAACAGCTGGGATGGGAGGGGCAGCTACGGTGCTTGAAGGTCTCCTGACTTAAGCACAAGAGAATGATCAGGCTAAAAGTAATTCTTAATCTTACACTGCTTTTCATCTCCCACTATATAAAAATGTATATAATACCCTGGGGCCAGTGATAAGAGTTTCAAACTAATTTTAGACATAAGAATCAACAGAACCAACTGAGGGCACCGAATCGCATGATACACGTTTACCCAAAATGCTTGTAGTAATATTTCACTATATTTTCCCAAAAAGACAGAAAAATTAATGATAGGATCATAGGATTCTCCCAAATGATTCTAGAGATCAGTCTAAACTTCTTGGTGTACATGTGAGAAAGCAGTGTTAAAACTGTGACCTAAATTTTCCTGTTTAAATTCAGTCACACAGAGATGTATCAGGGATGTAATCCTGTTCAAGAGGTTGTTGGCACTCCAAAATAGAGAATATGTATTTTAACTGAGGCTGTAAGTTTCTTAACTTTGTAGATGTCTGACTGAAACATTATGCTGTACACCAGAAATTGACACATTGTAAACTGACTATACTTCAATAAAAAAATGCAAAAATAAATTGGGACAATTACTTAGGGTTTTCAAGTATTTGAATGTGAGAATTAGAGTATTAGCTCATGATAGATTGGTTTTTTGGGCTATATACCGGAAGACAGGGCATGGCTTCCTGGTGTTATAAATATTCCTGAATTCACATGTGACAGAAACAGAGCTACAAAAAACATGACAACCATTATCAAAAAGCCAATGCCCTGTTTCCCAAGCATAAGCACAACATTTATAATTATTGAATAAAGACAGATGTTTAAGATAAACTGGAATTTAGATTAATGAGACAATAGTTGCTAACATCTACAGCCATACAAGGAATGTGAGCTACTTCTATAAATAACACTAAAACAAATTTTTTTCCCCACAAAAAGACACTTATGTTAATCTGAAATTTCTAAATACTAAAAGAAAGTCTACAAGCTTTTGGGGTGTTTATGAAAAATATTTGAATATTTTCATATTGACGTGTTTAGGAGCAGTTTAAGAAATGCTGGCTTGGAGCAAGATCGAATTTACAGCTTTATTGCTGTCCTTCAAATAATGGGTCAAAAAGAGGAAATAAAATAACATCATAGTGGCAGTCTCAAATAAAGTGACTTTCTGAGTGGTTGACGCCAAGCTGAGATGCTGAGGCTTTGGACTGGAGGGCCACCTTTATACAACACAGAAGAGGTGGCACAATTTAGACATGAAAATAGTCCTTGAAGTACTTAATCCTTACTCCTTTATTATGGACTCTGATTCAATTACTTTTTCTTGGTATTAAGAAGCTGAAGAATATTAGAACATGAAGAAATTTCTGTGAAAAAATGCTACAGAATACTATGATAAGAGAAAAAGGAGAGGGTTCGTTGACTGTTTTTGGCTTAAAACAAGAAACAGTAAACTGACTAGTTCTTTAAAGACTTTCTAATCACCGTCATTGCTTGAAAGTAGGTCACTTCCTCCCCCTAACAGCAGAGTATGTGGGATTCGAATATCTATATACCAAAATATTAATGATTATACTTCTAAACAACAGAGACAGAAATGCTGCTGCTAATTAATTCAGGTATTCTAAATTATAATCCATAGCCATAAAGTATGCATCTAACATCTAAAATGATAAAATTTTAGCAATTTTGATGATAAAGTTTTAGCATTGCTCAGCATTCATGATTAGTTAATAATTCAAAAAAGCAATTTGAGACACAAAAGATATAAAACGCCCTGGCTGCATTTTAAAAATAATTAACCAAGTAAATGTATCAAATTAGAATCACTTATATGATTTCCAAATAAAAAGTCTTCCCAATCCCCTGCTGCAAAATCTTTCATCTAATTATGAGAGATGCTGCAATGTGATGTCCATGCAAACTAATACATTCTCAGAAAATTTCTCTCCTATCTCCCACTTTGGCCTTTCAGAGAGCAGGGAAGAGGTTCCTGAAGGTTTGTGACAACAAAGCCATTTGTCATAAGGAATCATATTTTACAGTTTCACAGGGGAGCAGGAGAGAAGTGAATGGTGTGATAAGGAAGAGGACTACGCTTGCAATTAAAAGTGTGAAATGCTAAACTCCATTATGAAGACAAATAGGAAAGTACAACTTCATTGTTGAAAACAATTTCCCTCCCATCAGTCCAAGGATTCATGCATCAATATTGTAGATGAACTGTTAATTACAAAATCAATTAAAAATTATTTCTAAAAACAGTCACGCGTCCCTGGCTCTCATGGGGGCAATTTGGGCAGAAGGTCTCATCTCACTAGGACCGCGCCAAATCACAAAGTCGTCATCCACAAGTAAGCAAAAGCAATCTGGTTTTTCATTTTTCAGCGCGGCTGAGCCCAGCCTGAGATTGATCGTCACATATGGCCCCAGAAAACAAACTGTCAATACCTTGAATGCTGCAGAATTTGAACAAATAGCCGTCCGCCCATTCAAGCCACTCATTGCATCCCATTTAACAGATTTTATTGACAGTTTCCTTCTTGTAATTAAAGGGAAAACTACTGGCCGGCAACCAAGATAAAGTTCAAAGATAGGGTCAAAACAAAAGCAGGTGGAGGGGCACGGTGTGACTGTCAATGGTACATAGCATCAGAGCTTGTTATTGACATGCAGGTATCTAAAGATCAGCACGTCATTAAGGAGGGATCTATCCTGGACTTTATGCAAATGCTGAAAGAGACTTAAGACCACAATAAAGCATCGGGAGAGGCACAAAGGAGAAAACAACAAAGCACCAACGATTTTTACTTATCAGAGGTTGCTCCCTATTTTAATACATTTCAGTTCTAATGTAAAGACCATTTATTCTTATACCTCCTAACCCTTAATGCATAGGTAATACCTTTGAGGGAAACACTCCTTTGGCAGTATTTAACTTGTAGCGAATTCAAGAACAGAAGAAAACTGAGTATTCTATGATAACCAAAATGCAAAGCATCCCTAAATATACCAATGGCAAAATTTGCATTTTCAAGTGGAAAAAATGGTTTGTGTGTGTAACTCATGCTTATTTTCACTTGTGCAAATAAGACAATTTTGTCCTGAGAGGGTCCATTTCCACTATATCTGCACAAGCTTTTGCTCTGCCATGGTTCAAGTTAGTGAATTAGGTGATTAAACGTGTCACAACTTTCAATAAACAAGTAAAATAAATAATTCCCTTTAAATTAATTTTTTCTACCTTTTCACTAGAAAGCCAGAATGATTATAATTTTGCTGACTCGGACAGGATTCGCAACTGGATCTAGCAAATCCCTGAAGAAGAAGTTCAGGGAAGAGGTAAAACTGACATAATAGGAAAACAAAACAACGGTCATGTCAATGTGCTGACCTGAATTAGCAAGCGCTATCGCTTTGAGAGTGACAAATTCTTCTTTCTCCAGCTTCATGCTCTTGTATTTCTTCACCAGCTGCAGGATGGCATTATTTAGGTCAAGAAGGCCTGCTAATTTAGACTGGTCTTCATCCATTATGTAATCATCTGCATAGACGAGTTCATCCTCAAAGGAAAGAGACCGGTACACAACACCAAGGATCAGAATTTCCATCCACGCACTCTGCAAAAGGCTCATCTGGTCGGCCAGGGACAGCGTGGAAAAGCCTGTATGAGAAGACAGGAAGAGCGAGTTACTTTAAAGCCATCATTTCATAACGCAACGTCAGTTTCACATGGTAGTCGGCGCTCAAAACTAGGCTGAGCTTTGATCAGCTGCTCTTAAAATTTCCCCTGGTCATTTTGCAAATGGCAAAGTAAAAGTCACAAACCAGCGTC